TCTCCTGGTCGCTTCGCAGCTGGATCGCCTGCGTAGGCTTGTTTCTTAGACAGATTCCACCTGTTCCCTTTATCACAAGGTCGACCCCCAACTGCGCCCTCTTCCTCTCTTCGTCAGTATACCCACCTGATATTGCCTTTCGTGGTAGCTTAGTCATTAGACCAGCCAGATGCCTCACACCGCCTGGTCACATCGACCGGTCCTCTTTTCTGCCCTGCAATAATCCCGACCCAAGTTGACCACAGGGAGCGAACCTGCTCTTCCCATTATGTCGGATCAAAACGGCTCACTGTGTGGTGGCGATCGAGATCTTTGCGCGCCGGCCATAGCAAGCCTCTCATAGTCAGTGACAAGTGCATCGTGGCCGGGGGTCCGAACCGATCCGCTGCTCTGGATTTGAGTCTTCTTTACCTTGGGCGCTCACACCCAGTCTCACGTGCTGGAATCCCGCTCCTTCACCCATAGTGGTCCCACGGCCAGCCTAATTGCAGCCCCACATTCCGTTTTATACAAGTCCCGCAGCGGTCGGCAGCTAATGCACATGTCTCACCTCGGACCCTGTTTCCTCATGATCTTCTCCCTTAGTCCCAACCCCAACGTTTTTTTCCTCATTCTTGATACGCCTCATCGAAACCTCCGATTTTCGATCCGCCGTTGATCCCGCTTGCGACCTTGCTCTCCACCTCGATCCTTGCTTGGCAGCAGGTTAATACAGGTCATTGAAAACCCAAGATCCCCTCAAACCCCTCAGCCCCATGCACTCATACATCAAAAACACACGAAAACAAAAGAAACTCACCGAAAAACAGGGTTATGTTTGGGAAAAAAGGGCATTCGGCTGGTAGGCAGCCGCCCGACACCGGCTCCTTTCTTTCTCCTGTCCGTGCGTGTGTGTGAGCGTTGATGCGCGCTGTTTCCCGTGTCCGTCTCGAACTGTGCGTGTGTGCACGCGTTGTTGCACGCTGTTTCCCGGATCTGCTCTCCGTGCGCGTGTGCGCGCGTTGTTGCGCGCTGTTTTTCGGGCCCGCTCTTGACCCGAGCACGCGTGCCTGTGCGCAGTTGTGTGCCCGTACATGCGATCGCCCGATTCGTGCGCTGGCTGCTTGATCCGTGTCTGTTGTTGTGCGCAGGCCGCTCCCCCGTGTGCGCGGCTATGGTGCGCACGTCCGACCCCCCTCTTTGAGCATCCCTACCCGCGAGCTGCTCCTCCCTTGGTACGTTCACCTCTCGTGCGCCTCCCGAGCTCTCGTAGTGCGCCCGTAAGTTTGCATGTGGGAAGTGTCCTGCCTTTGAGCCCGGTTGGGCTTATATACTTTGCGGGCCCTCTTCTTGGAGTGCCTCAGCCCTTTTGTGCGCTCCGGGGCTGCCGACAAGTTGCAGCGCCCCGGTACCATGGCTTCCCCGAGCCTGTACCCAGGCCTGTTTGGGCCCCCGAATAGGTTTTCAGCGAAGGGGGGCTTTTTGTTGGGTACTGGGCCTTTTGCAGCGCCTTGGTACCGGGTTTCCTTCCGAACCTAGGTCCGGGCCTGTCCTCCTGTGGTCCCCACATGAAAGGTACCGGCCTTATAGAATTCCGCAGGGCCCGAATCCCGGAATTAATAATTCCATGGCCCAAGGGCCCTTTTCCCAGCCCTCAGCCTTTTTTAGGCATCACATACAGCTCAAATGCAGCGGCCCTGAGCGTGCCCGCACAGCGTTTTCCTTCGATATTGCCCCCGCGATGAACTTCGGTGTTACCGCTGCTTAGTCCGTCCAAAGGATTGTCTCAAGAGTCGGGGCCCTCTATTGTTTGGCCCATTGCCCAACTCTTAATGCGAGTCTGACCTTCTCATCCTTGTCTATCATCTGGGGCCTCCGACACTCCCTCTGCAGTAGCCGCTCCTTTATGTCTTGACAAAGATGTGCCTCAATAGTGTGCGCAAAGGGACGCTCACTGAGAGTTCATGGATCCGCTCCTTCCTGACACCTCGGCCTCAACACTCGTCGTGCGAATCTGTTATCGTACCTTTTTGATGCCGGCTCCGATCCCGCCAAGCAAAATGATTGAATCCAGTTCCTCTCAAGTGTTATCATCAAGGAAGTAAAGGGCGGCGTAAGGCTGGAGCCGCCCGACACCGAATAGACCGCCTGGGTTAGAATGATAGTGAAAGAGAAAACTGAGGAATGATTTTTCGGTGTGAAGGATGGGCTGGAGATTCCGTTTCTTTTGCTGTTTTCCTGTCCCCTCGCACTTGCCTAGTGGCCACAAATGTAATGTCTACATTTATGATCTAGAAGACTAGAACTAACCCTGGTTCAAACTTTTGAAGAGGTGGGTAAAGACCGAAGGTGCCAAGTGGGAAATAGACACATACAAAACAATAATGAGGCTTATGGCCAGAATCAAGCTTGGCAGCACCACCATTCGGTTGCAAAACATCACAAATGCAGTCAGAAAGCTCCAATGATCTTTTCCCCCTCTCTGTCGTAAATGCTGTCCCCTTCCTTCTCCCAGGCAGTAGATGGTGAACACCTAGCACTGGATTGTGCAGTGAGACCATTTATTGAGAGCTTCTTGACCCTCTGCCACCACCAAGGGATTGGCATGTGAGGTATGCTTCAAGCCCTGCTTGTCTCATCATTTGACATTTGATGACTTCTGTGAAAGGCCTTCCACGATTCAGACCCCAAATTCGGATCTCAGGGTCAGATGCCCAGGTCAAGAAAAGGCCGAGTCTGTCAAACTCAGAAAAGTCACAATCGGGTACCTCGGCAGTCTGGTCCAACAGGCACCCAGCAAAAAGTCACATCTCAGGGACAAGAGTCACGTCTCATAATAAAAGCCATTCAGAGGAGTCACGTTTCCTAATGAAAAATCATATTGAAGAGTCACATCCCACGAGTATAAGGCAGTATCACAGGCAAAAGTCGTGACCCACAGGCAGGAGTCACTATCCACAGTCAAAAGTCATGTTCCCAAATGAAAAGTCATGACCCAAAGGTCCAAGCAGCAGCAGACCCATGGAAATTCGGGAAGGTTCCAGGCCTTGACATTCAGAAGCAGACAGGCCGTAGGGATGTGGTACCGGGACCAGTTAGGCCCCAGGAAGCAGAGGCTGGCACGAGTTGAAGTGCATTCCAAGACTACAAAAGGACTGGCCAGCCTACCATTCGGGCAGATGCTCATTCGCATGAGAGTGTGGAAGTGCTTGTGCACTTGTGGGCTAGTGTGGGAGCTGCGCTATGCCAGAGAGCAGCGCTGAGTGAGACGAGAGAGAGGAAGTAGATGCTGGCAGAGAAGAAGGCAGCCATAGCTGCACCAGCACCAGGAAGCAATGTAGTTAATGGTTAGTAGTAGAGCAGTGAGTGGTATTCAGAGTTGATCCTCATGTGTGTGTTAGTAGAAGGGAGTGTGCATGCAGAGAAGAAGAAGACTGTGTAGAGTGGAGACCAGAACCATCAAGTGAGAGAGAAAGATAAGAGGGAGAGAGAATGAGCTATGGTGGATACTTACCTGAAGAGTATTGAACTTGGTGTTGATGACAAGCGCTGATGAGCACAGATGCTGAGACTCTTGATGATCGAAGCAGACTGGTAGTCCTGTGGAGCACTGGACAGTTGAACTCTTGATTCTCTCTCTATAATCTGGTTGTGATAATTCTGGTTGAGATAATTGAGCTGCGTTTTTCTGTTCTACTACTCATGGGTAATTCGGTCTCTCTCTGTCTGTCTGTCTCTCTGTTTGTCTGTCTCTCTCTCTCTCTCTCTCTCTCTCTCTCTCTCTCTCTCTCTCTCTCTCTCTCTCTCT